AGCAAAGACTGTTATATCGTGCAAAGAAGACCAGGATATAAGGATATTCCTTTTTAAGAAGAAAAGGGAATAATTGAGAATTTTAAAGTAATTGTCAAAATTTGTATCATTGTGCTGACGTTTGAATGAGAACTAAATGTTATACATATTCATAATGGCGAAAGTGAGGTAACAATGAATATCAGTAAAATTGCGAAAGTAAACTCCCTGAATTCAAAAGGTCAGATATCACAATCATTAAGGAGGGGACTATAGGGTATAATTACAAAGAAATGCTATGAATAAAGAACACTGAGAATGGTACAACCCCATATGAGGGTGTGGTAGATACAGGTTATAAGAGAGAGGGCAAAAGGTGCTACAAACACCAGTTGGAGAATTCAAATTAATGTATTTGCTAACTACATCAATTAAATTTATTGTTCATAAAGAGAGAAATCTTCACAGTTGTACTCAAGTTATATAAAGAATAATGTGCAAAATAATAACTGCACATGTATTAGTTTTTATTCAAGACCTTGTATGAAGAACTAGGCATATTGCAGTTCAAATTTTTAGTTTTTAAAACAGTACTTTAGTTTTTTTTTTCTTTATATCTGCTAGAGAATGAATAGAGTCAATATAGTATGTAATGGTTATGTTCTGAGGGAAGCTGTGGGTTGAAAACACGTTATGATCTGTCTACTTTGTCTACATTATACAAGTTGAGTCAAATCAAATGATGTGGGTTAGTCAAATTCCCTCAAAAAGGTACAATTTTCTAAATACTCAAAAAGGTCCAATTTTCTAAATACTAATACTTATCTTCTGATAAAAGAACTACTGATATCAGAAGGTAAGATATCCTGAGGAGGGTATAATAATATGTACTGAACAAGAATAAAGAACTTAGAAGCCGTATAAAAAATATGGTGTTTTATAATTTTAGATTGTTAAAATACTTGTTTTTAAAGTTATATATAACTTTGCCCCCTGAATTTGGTATCACTGCCACCCAGGAAATGTGTATACTAACATAAACAAAAGATAACTGGGACATGAAAAAGGTTTTGACTCTAAAACTTCATGGCAGTGAAATAAGGAAAATTCTAGGTAACACACATATCAAAGTAAACAAATTCAGTTATGGTGCTAGTAATGAAAAAAAGGAAAACTCCATCGGAGAAATGATTTTTTTTTAATGGAGTGATTTTCTAGAAGAAGTTACTGGAATAAGCTTATTTATATTGGATATTTAGTATCCAAGTGGACCATTTCATTGGCAAAATTTTACACAAAAATGCATGATTTATTTTCATGATTTAAATCACATAATGTTAAAAAGCAGAGAGGTGATTTTTCAAGATCAGCTTTTTGAATTCAATATTGAGGTTAAGTGATATAACTTACTTCTGCAATAATCAAAAAATACTCTTCAGAAAAGCAGCTGAAGTAATTTTATATCAAAGTGGCACAAAAAACCAGTAACAATTTGATTCTATTTTAGGATTAATTTAATGACTGCTTAGCTCTCTTAAGGCTCTTAAAATCAAATGAAAACTAAGTCAGTATTATGGATTACAATGACTAAACTTATTTTTCATAGGACATGCCTTTTCATATTTAACAGTGAGGATTTTATGATTTGAGGTGATGGATAACAGTGAACCGGTGAAATGCACTGAAAAATAAGTGATTATTTTACTTCTCACATCATAGAGAATATTTGGCGCAATCACACAGAAATTTTGGTTGCTTAATCAATCAATATCTGTATTCTACTGATAATTCCTGTGAAATAAGAATCAGAAATGTGTACAATTTATATGAATTTACTGAAGTTAATTTAAAATATTTGTGTTAGCATGCAAATTCTTAAGAAGAGATAGTATAATTTAACATGAGTACATTTTAAAGAATCCAGAAAGTGTAAAAGACAGTTAAATTTCTCAAGCTTATCACTAAAATATGTTGAGATAAAAATTTTCTATGTAAATATCTGTTTGAATTTAATAAAAAGTCAGCTAGAAAACATAATTCAGGAATGTGACTTATTCTTTTATTCCATGGCTCGTAGCATGTATTGCTCTACTCAATAAACCACACTGAGTAAACAGCCATAGAACACACTGGCTGATTAATATTATTGGTGTATGTACAGTTAGCAAATATTGCCAAAATAATGACACTTGGAGTATATCAAAAAATTTAATAAGAAGAAAACATAATCCAGTACTTTGTATTTCATTCTACGTAAGGTGCTTCCTGCCTTAGAGATTTCTATGTAAATAGAAGAGTACAACTTAAAAGCTTATCTATACTGTACAGTATAGATAAGCCTACCAAATAATCCTAGGTTTTAAGTTGCCTCATTGACCCTGTTGACCTGTTAGTATTGTGTAATAAAACTGCCTGTACTATTAATAATATACTGAAAATACTTTCTTCATTTTAACACAGAACACCGTAGTAAAAGTAATTTTTGTCTAATATTGCTTAGTTAAAAAAAAAAACAGCTTGTGGATATTCTATCAAATAAAAAATATATGAAGGTAAAAATATGTGCCTAATATGTAGTTGTAATTACTATCTATCCTGGGTATACAATTTCCTATTTGTTCTAATAAGGATGAGTATTCAAACGACACAATTTCTACCCCATGTTCTCTTGATTTGAGGTGACAGTTTGGGGAAGTGAAATTCCAACTAGTTAAGTGCTACAGAAAAAAAAAAAAAAAAAAAACTGGGATAAACTGCAATGTCAATGTTCACCCAAGCTGTTCATTATACTTAAATTAAGTAGGCCTTGTGTTAGTACTTAAGAATTTCACTTCCCCAAACTGTCACCTCAAATCAAGAGAACATGTTATACTTTACTAATTAACAGGTTATACATATCTTATGTTGCTCCTTATTATTTTGCATGATATAATGTACATCAAATATATAGTGAATAATAGGCAAGTGAACATATGGAATTTATTAAAATTTAAATATTTTTACAATTCTGAATAATATATTTAAGATTAGTTTGTGGAACTCTTTTTGTTCCTTACATATAGCACAAGGTTTCTAACAAAGATATGGTCATAATGAAGCACATAAGTAAAATCAATAAAAATAGCAATCAATAAAAAAAAACAGTGAATGTCTCAAACATGCCTTAAAAGAAATGAATTTTACATGGCAATGATATTTTTCTTTTAAGGAACGATCAAGGCAACATTTTATACCATCAAAAATAGCATAAATTTTAGCAAAGAAAAGAATCTGTAAATATTAAAGTATTAAGGAAAAAAAACAGTAATGGTAGATGCCAATAAAATAAAAATCTTGGTATGATCTTTATTATTCTTGAAAGACAAAAGAATATACTGTGCATTATACTTAGATATTTTCCAATGGAATGTTGCATCAATTACTTAGTGTTTCTGAATTAAATGTAACTATAAAGATTCTGGGTTTTTACACTTGTGGAGTTATCTTTTTGTCTATCTCTTCTGTTGGGCACTGACCATAATTTTTAATTAATTCTGTAATAGGAAAAATAGCTTTATTTTCTTCAACTTCTCATTTTCTCACATATCATGCCACCCACTTCTGTTGACAAAATGTAGTTTGATAATGCACAACTGTGCCATTTTAATTTTCAATATTATAAATTCAAGGTAGCTGTTCTGAGAAGAAGCATATATTAAATGAGTGTTCTGTGATAATATAATGCAAATATTTTGGAAAACTTTTTTCAGGTGATTAGTTAAATCAGATTTGTTTAGTAATATTTTCAGTTAAGATTTATTGAGGGATTACTGTATGCCAAAAATAACTTTCAGAGTTTTTTATATGACAGTGTATGTATACCATCACAGCTCTATTTTAGGAGCAATCATCTCTCTAGAGATGTTATCTGGGCACAGGCAGTTATATAATCTGCCCAGGTCACACAGCTACAAAGTGGTGGATCCACAAATTGAAGCCAAGCTTTCTGGGGTCCTGACTAGACTAGCCTCTCTATAAGAAAGTCATTTTTCTTTATAAAATACATCCAAGGAACATCTACAAACCAATGTAGAAAAATCTATACTACACAGTGAATTTGTTACATCTGAAAAATGTGACATATATGTGACACATTCTGCAGCCACTGCTATCTACCCCTACTCTTACCCTATCACACCAAATAAATTAAAAGCACACTTACAGTTTTTAATTTTATGAAGCTAGGATGAAAAAAATATGCTTTCGGAAAATTCTTAATTCTTTTCTGCTTGCAAAGATAAACAAAAACATGGTAAATAGTAAAGCTATTTCTAGGTTTAATAATTAAATCAGGTGAAGTGGAATTAGGTGCAAAAGTATGGACATCTAATTTCTATCCACAAGTAATCTAATGTCTGCATAACATTTTTGCCTCTCTGAAGTTCTGCTGAATGTAAAAGCACACATTATTTTCCACAAATACACAATATATCAAGTACAACTAGCCTTATTTTACACATGATAGTTTTTATCCCTCAATCTTTATTTTCAATATTTGCTATTTGTCAGTGATTGGTACGAAACAGTACTAGTTAGATAGATCTATTTATTTCCTTTAGTTCCACAGAAAGTCATTCTCACATGTCATCTAAAGCAACAACCGGAGTTTCAGTTCAAAACTTGGTTAACTTCATATGCAGGTTAGTAGTAGCAGAAAGAAGACAAACATGAATGAGATATCGGTTCTCACTGGTTTTTACTTATATCACCACCCTCATTTACTATGACATGGTAGCACATGGGCCTGTGACCACTGGTCTCACAAGATATTCCTTATTGAATAAACAAGGGAAAATACTTCTGTAATATGAAAAGGAGAAGGGGAAAAAAACAAACAAGCAAACAAAACCCCCTTTTGACCTGACATTATGGAAAATAAATAAATAAATAAAAGACACTAAGATGAAAGAAAAAAAATAGTGTCATGGTTTACATGTGGGATTTTGATGGAGTCTAGGGCTGTGTTTTAATTCAAAACTCACCATCTCAAAACCACTTCTTTTCATCCGCCTGCAGGACTTGAGGTAAGTACGTATACGTTTTCTGGCACGCTCTTGATACTCAGGGAATTGTCGCCTGCATGAGTCAATGATAGCCTGGATCTTTTCTTTGGGCTGCTTAGAGATTGGGACCATTCGGTCCAAGTTTTCATCTACAAACAGCCTGACAAACATCTGTTGGCAAGAGGGAGACAGAGGAGAAGGGTTTGGAGGGCTGCTCTCTTCTCTTCCTAGCTTCCTGTCTTGATTACCGATAGGAAAATATTCTTTCTGGAGAACTTTGCAATGGAAAGCCAGAATTTTTAAGCAAACACCCTTTAAAGACTTTCTAAATGGTCGGATAAAAAAAGAGAGAAAAAGAGAGAGAGAGAGAGAAGCAGACAGACTGACACACAGACAGAAAAGAATAGACTATTGTGTAGAAAAATCAGGAAATAACAGTAGACTGCGACAATTAAGCATCTCATAACATTTTCTATTAATGATAAATACAAGTTTTACATGGCTACCCTGCACAGTGTTCTAAGCTCTGAAAACAAACAATAGACTCTTTTGTCATGCATAATTAGATAAGCTGGGAAAGCAACAGAAATAAGTGATGACTGGCGTACTCTTCCGAGGAATAAGCTGAGGCCCCCTTCATCCACTAGGTAAACATGCATACTCACACAACACAACTCCAGTTTCAGCTCACATTTGGCTTTAAAATTCTAAACAAAACACAGCAATTCTGGTGTCTGGTTGGCAAAGAGTGTTTCATGTACTTTTTAAATCCTTCTGTAAATTAAACAAACATGTCTCTAAAATATCCACATTTACCAACAAGCAACAACATGAAAGTGAAGTGTTAAAAATGAAGGCACACTAGGAGTGTGGCAGGACTCACATTAAAAGCTTTCAGCCGTTCTGCTTCCACGCCATCTGTCTCGTTCACCTTCTCAGAATCATCATGGTCATCATGGTCATCTTCATCTTCATCCCCCCTGTTTAGAGATAGGTCCTCAGCACCCCGGTCCACACTCTCATTTTTGCCAGAATCGTAGCTTGAGTAGCTATGTGCAGGAGACTGAAAAGAAGAGGTGTTGGTTGTGTTTAAATTCACTGCTCATACTTAGTAAATTTATTTTAATTTCAGCTGTTTTTCAAAATTCTTGTTTAAGTGAATTGATAATACCAGAACTGCAACTATTTTAATCTTAATGAAAATTAAGAGAAAATCTTATCTTTATAGCCTTGCCATGCACATTTCCGGAGCTCAAAAGTTTTATGGAACATTCCTATCACTACAGAAAGTGAATGAATTTAGCTTTTCAAAAGCAAATTACTGTTTCTACTAAAAATTCATATTGTTAAAAAAAGTCAACCTATAATCAATTTTGTAAGAGAATCATTGAGTCACATAATTTTACAAAGAGTAATGGCTTCATAGCTTAGTCTAACTACTATTTTTCTTTAAACAGATCAGGATATTGAGGAGTGATCATGTTTAATTGATTTGCCCAAAGAGACTATAAAAATTATTCTGAGACTATGTGTTATTTGTAAAACAACATGTTTCAAAATCAACTTATAAGTTGTCATGAGTCATTGTGTTTTGGTTTAAAAGAAATGAACCAGGCCTTCTTTTAAAGATCTATTGATTTAGTGCTTCCTAGTGTGCAAAAGAATACATGCCAATCAACACAAGTTTTTCAAACTTTGGTAATTGCATATAAGACCAACCATGGCTCTCACTGTGACATCTACTTTGTCAGCACAGTAACTTTTCAAAAATGGCCCCTGCTTCACAGGTCAAAGTCTCCACCATATGGCCACCAACCTTCTCTATCTTAAATAGGCATGGTACAACTTTACCTCTAGGTGAAGAAAGCTAGTCTATAATGAAATCAAGTTGAATTCAGCAGAGCCAAGCAGCACAGAAGTAGTCCTGATAACACCATTTCAGCATCTAGATTCAACTGTGCTTGAAATTAACCCAAGGACCCTTCAGTTATGAGATATCATACATCCTCTACCCCTTGCCTTTTATGTTTTTACTTCAATCTGAAATTCATTCACTTGCAATTGAATATGGAGTGGCAGAGAAATCAGTTGTTAAAAGGCCAGATTAGTGACCCAGTTTTCACACATGATAGCTGAGTTAGGTATGTGGTTCTAGTGAAATGATAATAATCTCTATAAACAGCAACAGCTGCTTTCAAATCCATCAACAAAGCAAAAACTCTCAAAAGAACTTCACAATCATAACTTTCAAATAAGCAGTGTCTAAAAATGTCTCCATGCAATGATAGCATTATGTTTTCAGTCTTTCACTAAGAAGAGGGATACTAATAATAGTAAAAGTAAGCTATCTCACTGACATTAAAAGTTAGATTAGGCCCTCCCTGGTGGCGCAGCGGGTTAAAGCACTGCACTGAGAAGCTAAAGTCACTTCCGCATGAGTTCGATTCCCGCCTGCCCCGGAGGTGACCACATGGCGAGGCAGACCTCTCCTGGCCCGCCGGCTGCTCCCCTCAGCAGTGTACTTTGATCATCTGCTTGTTCTGCTCCCCACTCTGTCTCTGGTGAATCCTATCACCTTCCACATCTCTGGCCTGTACCCCAGTTCTGTATGAATAAATAAATAAATAAATCTTTAAAAAAAAAGTGAGATTAAAATTTAAAACCAATATATTTGTAAACTCAAATCATTAACAAGGTAAATTTGCCTAATAAAATAGAAGTAGTATATAGGTCTGAAAAACATACCATGTATAATATTCTTCTCTGAATGCAAATATACTGGGTTAAGTTTTTTTCTACACACAACATGAGACATACAGCACAGTTTTCTGTTACAAACAGAACCACTGGAAACATAAAAAAATTACAGCCCTAGACACTCCAGGTAAAGAAAACTCAATCTTACAGATATGAGAAGATTCAGGACCTAAAAATTTAAAGCAAAATGTCATTTCCCCTTCTATCATGTAAACTAAAATTTTTATAACTATGAATTCTGTTTTTCAGAAGTTTGTCATTTCTTGATCATCTCACTGCTGCAGATCTAATAAACATTCAAGTTCAAAACGATTAATTTCAATTTCTACAGATTCCTACTTCTACCTCACTGCAATCTTTGCTAAACTGTGAACTCTTAATATACTAAAGCACTGGACACAGAATTAAATACTACTACAATGCTCCATTTTTCATGTTAAATTTCCTTCAGGCTCAATAGGCATTATGACAAACCCTGCTACTTTCCCCCTCATAGTATCCAAGAAATGCTCTCTATAGGGTTGACACTCAGGATTTCCTTTTTCTGACACAATTATTTGCTTTTTAAAAAATGGGGAAATTGGGCCCTCCCTGGTGGCGCAGCAGGTTAAAGCACAGCACTAAGAAGCTAAAGCCACTTCAGCATGAGTTCGATTCCTGCCTGCCCTGGAGGAGATCCACATGGCGTGGCAGACCTCTCCTGACCCGCCCACTGCTCCCCTCAGCAGTGTACTTCGTTGATCTGCCTGTTCTGCTCCCCGCTCTGTCTCTGATGAATCCTCTCACCCTCCACATCTCTGGCCTGTACCCCAGTTCCATATGAATAAATAAATCTTTAAAAAAAAATGGGGAAATGAAGACAAGTCACAGATCATCTTTGTAAAACATATCTAATAAAAAATTGTCACCCAAAATAGAGAAAAACCATGTAAAACAAAACCTGATTAGAAAATGTTTAAAAAATCTCAAGAGATTTCTTAACTAAGAAGATATGCAGATGGGAAGCAAGTATATAAAACAATGATCCACATCACATATCAACATGGAAATGCAAATTCACTACACACCTACAAGAATGGCAAGACTTAGACCTCTAACACTAAGAGCTAGTGAGGATGTGGGGTGATAAGATATTCTTGTTTATTTTTGGTGGGAATTCAAAATAGTGCAGTCATTTTGGAAGTCATTGTGAAATGGCTACCTACTATGTAATTTCAACTATGTAACATTCTGGATAAGGCAAAACTATGGACTGAAAAAGATCAGTGGTTGCCAGGAGTCTGGAAAGGTTGAACAGGCAGAGCACAAAATTTTTTAGGGCAGTGAAAATAATCTGTATGATAATATAATGACTATATGTCACTATATATTGGTTAAAAAAATAGAAAACACAACATTATGAGTGAACACTAACATAAATTACAGATTTGGGGTAATTTCCATTTGTCAATTATGTTCATCAATTATCATAAATTTAGGAATTCTTGCGTAATGCTAAGTAATGATAATGAGGGAGGCAATGCATATGTAAGAGCAGGCGATAGGTGGCAAATCTCTACCTTTCAATTTTGCTCTGCAGTGCAAACTGTTCTTAAAAAAATAAAGTCTTTTCTAAACATGAGAGAAAACGTGGCTTTGGGGGTGATAATGTAGAAACAAACAATACAAAATTACATAGGACTCCTTGTTCCACACAAAATACAGTAGTAATTGCCCATCTTAGTGGGCAATTATTTCATAGTTCAGGTATAAATCTAAAAAAAAGTACAGACCAGAATTTTAAAAAATAACAAAGATTTAAATAATCACAATTTAGGTAACCTGCTTATCCTCAGAACAAAGGATTGGGTACATGGAGATAAAATAGACTTTGCTTTAGTTACATACTTCATTTGTTCTTCTGAGAGAACACAGGGTCCCCCTTAGCAAAGACCCTTTTGAAAATACATTTGCACTTCCTTTTTTCTTAAATTTTCCCCACCCTAATAGAATTGCCACCCTAGAGAGCTGGACCTTGAAAATTTCCCCCAGGCACAAAGCTAAATCTGCTTGTTTACTCAGTGCTTGATGTAGTACCTGGGCAATCACTTATGATATATGCAGCCATGGGAAATAGAGACAAAGATTTTATGTGTTCATGCCCTAAATAAGGGAAGAATTACACAATTCTTGGCCAGCGATCCATGCTTTCATAGCAGGTGCATACACAGTTCTGTCTCAGTACTGACCATAAATATTACACAAGTTAGTTTTCACGTCCTTCTTCCACAGAGTATGAGTTACTTGAGGCTGGACTCTAAGAGTCCACACCTCTACTGTCTTTATGAAAATGTATAATGTAAAATGTATATTATAAGGTAGATGTCTTGTGAATGACTGGCTACTTATATGTTTGAATTATACAGATGGTTACACAGACAGTGTAATTTTTAAATTTGTGACTCAAATGTATCTTGCTGGTTACTTTTTAAAATGTCAATTATTACTGAATCTTATTCTTAGTATCACTAAGTGTGATGGATGAAATTATACCCTCTTCTCTTCTGCTGTGATGCAAAAAAATATACAGAACCACTTAAAAAACAACAACAACAAACTTACCCTCTTAAAAGAAAAAATGAATTTTAATCAGAACTCAATTTAAGCAGTGATTCTCAAAGTTCTCCTGTGGAATCAACATTTCTTGGGAACTAACTGGAAATGCAAATTCTTGAACCCTGTCTGGATTTGAAGCTTTGTGGCTGACCTAGGCAGTCTGCATTTTAACATGCCTTCAGGGGGTCTTTCCCAATCCCATGCCCCAAGCAAATTTACTGTGATAACAACCCCCCAACATAAAAATAACCAAGCAACACTATCTAATATTTGAGAACTATTCTTCTAGAGCTAACTTCTATTTACAAGGTAACAGCATAACAAATTAAATGACAACAGAGAAATCACACAGACAAATCAAAAATATGGAACATATAAAGAGATTTACGAGATGTAATAATATTAAAGTGTTGAGTTTGCTTGAATCATGAGTCAAATAAATACAATACAAAGAAGAGATGTTGAGAAAATTTGGGATATCTGAGTATGGGTGAGGGAGTGTCTTAGATAACATTAAACTTTCATTAATATTGCTAGAATTGATTACTTAACATTTAATATTTAAGAAAAAGTCTATGCTAGAGACACTGAGCTATGGAGGTGAGGCATAGGACAAGGGGAGAGCTCTTAGGGTCAGAACAGAATAGAAAAAGCCTCAAAAGAGTTAAAGGAGGCTCCAGAGAGAAGGGCAACAAACTAATCAAAAATCCT